TAGTAAAAATAATGTCATACTTATCAGTTTGAGTTTTTGATAATCCATTTTACTTAATTTTTTAATTGAACTGATTTTGGTTTTAACTACATTTATTATTAAAGTTTTGAATGTCATCCATTCTATTCTTTATTGAAGGACCATATTAATGCTATGTTTAAACACAACTTAATTGTCACTGATAACTACTATCATCTACAGACATTTCAATCAGACCGTTTATATAAATCAGGAATGTCTTGGATCCAGCTCGCCCCCCTGCGGTACTCCACACCAGGTGTGGTGTGGTGTTCCAGGATCAGGCGCGTTACACACCGGCACATTAGACATATACTGCCTCTGTGGTGCAGTGGTAGCGTATGCGACTGCTGTGCTGAGGTCTTAGTTTCCATTCCCGGGTCTGACCAAATGTTCGTTTGATCTGCAAATGTTTGTTTCGAAGTTTGGTATTTTTTATTTATATGTATGTGTTTACAAAAAATTCTATATAAGTATTCCATCAGTCAATCTAGCTTTCTTAGTATAAGCTCTGCTTAGTTTGAAACTAGATGGCCTTGTGTGTCAGATGTCCGAAATTTTATTATTATATTGTATTTGTTCACTGCGTAATAGATAAGTTAGAATGGGCGGCATGTTGTTATGTGGTACAGCCTTCAATACTTTTTGAAGATATGCTATTGTAGCTATCTTTATACCTAGCTATATATTTGGCTATCTGTTAAAAGAACAGCGATACGAAGTCCTAAGAAAAGTCATGCACCAGTCACAACAGATTGCTCTGTTTGGAGCAGTTATGATTTTAAAGAGATAGTCATACTCACGTCGCTTCAGTACACTATTATACCTGACACTTTTCTTTTGTTTTATTTAGACCATCTTATATCTAATATCTATTTCGATTTTAAGCTATATATTGAACCTTCCAAAAAACCGTTCATCTTATCATCTTATCATTATCATCTTATCTTATTTTAACCCTTAATGGGTGATATCTCTAAAAATCCTTTTTGCTTAGTTGCCAAAATGTCAAGTTCGTAGCCCCAACGTTTTAGGCTCTTCGTTGATGAATCAGTCAGCAAGGGAAAGTGATTTTATTATGTTGAGATCATCAAAGCAATCTTTAGGATCGCCTTTTATTAATTTAACCTTGTACTGCTATATCTAAAATATCTTCTTTAAAATGGTTTACCTAATAATAATCTCACACACGGCGGTCTGATCCTAAACTAGGCAGAGCCTGTACCTTGGTAACCAGACTGCTCATAAACATACTTTTATATTTCTAAATACATAGCTTTTACTATGAAAATACATATTATTATAGATAAAGTACACCCAGACACAGAACAAATGACCGTGCTTATATCACAATTATTTGTCCTGGGTGGGAATCGAATTCACGACCTCTGGCGTAGCTGTCAGGGTCACTAACCACAAGATCAACAGGCTAGTCTAATAATAAACCGTTTAACCCCACCCACCCAACCCTTTCCAATACAAAAAGATCTCAACAAAATTCAATTGTCTATTTAGAAACATGAAACGTAAGTAACATTTCTACTGAGCAAAGTTTTTCTTTACCCAAACCATACAGAAACACGCGAACAAACAGCCCATAAAACTTAGAAGCCTTTAGGTCCCTACGGTATCGGTCTAACTATGTTATATATTATTTTTTTGGCATAAGGGGGCAAACTAGCAGACTGGTCACCTGATGGTAAGCAACTACCGCCGCCCATGGATACCTGCAACTCAAAAGTCACAAGTACGTTGACGCGCTTGGAGTCCCACCCGTTCGAGTCAGCGGGAGTTGGGATTTGGGCTCCGGTAACCTCACTTACTCAGTCAAAATCAACGAAAGATCGGTTTTCTGTGATGCCGTGGTATCACTCCGGTCGAGCCGGCCCATTTGTGCTAAAGCATGGCTCTTCCACTGTTATACGCATGAATGACGCCTACATGCGATGAAAATGAAACTAATCCTAGATGAAAGAAGATCCGCATAGCCGTGCCTGATATCATCTACAAAACGTTTAGCGTACCATATATACCACTTTCATTTTTCTAGTGACTACACTTGAGGAAGATGAATCACTATGCAGTGTCAAATATCAAATAAGCATTTGAAATTGAGTGTTTCAACTAGCTACTTTATAACAAAGAAAAATGTGGGTACTTTTAACTTTGTGCATTTCTTGGGTTATGAATTTTAACGAAGATTCACATAACTACTTTCATCAAAAAGTTTTGATACAATATGCCGTATTCTGTGTGGTGACGGATTAAGAATACAGAGTGTCACCACCCCTATTCATCCCGTGGGTGTCGTAAAAGGCGACTAAGGGAGCAAACTACGCAAGACAACAGTACTGCAGAGAGAAGGAAAACTTGACACAAACCCTAAAGCAACCCGTCTGGCCAGCGTGGTATAGTAGGCCAAAACCTCCTTTCTAAGGAGAGGCCTATGTAAAGCAGTGGACGGTTAAAGGCTGTTGATGTGTGAAGAGGTATTCAGAGTCGTATTAAATGCTCCCATTTACACTAACGTAACGGAGCAAGTCGTTTGCCGGTTTAAGAAGCAGTGGGAGATTCATGCTTCGACCGGAGTCATACCTCGGCGTCACAAAAAACTTGGTAATAAGCAATTCTATCGTTAGTTTTCACCGAGTCAGCCTGAGGAACTGACCTCAGAGACCCAAGTGTGAGTTAATTTTACATCGACTCCTAGCTCCTAGCTAGCCGTCTAGTGCATTTGGCGTTGCAATTGGTAGGGATTTCAGTGCGGATTTCAACGCCGATCGGTCACCGTGACGAAGAAGTGAAATAAACTCGCACTTGGACCTTTGTATTCAAAGGGTGTTAACGCACTCGTGTCCCTTGAGTTGCAGGTATATAAGTGGCGGTAGTCACTTACCTTTAGATGACCTGTCTGCTCGTTTGTTTCGTTAACCATAAACAAAATCTAATGAAGAACGTAACACATCTTTTTCTCTCCATGGAATGTTATGGTGGTCAGTGAAACGGTGCCCTAATTTTTTGACATTCTTAAACTAAAGATGTAGAAACTGCACACCATTAATTTAACTCGTCAAACGAGTGTCAGAGCCCCCTATCAAAACGAATCGCGTGTTTTGATTCATCTTAACAAAGTATGTGTAACACGAAACGAAAACTGGTCGTGTACTTTAAAAAAAAATTGAATAGCCGAACATTGACCATTGTAGCATATAAAAACAGGAGCCAAATTGACCATCCGTCTCACTCCCACTAGTCATTTAATTAATAGCGTCTCTCAGTTCTCGCTACCTTCTTCAGACTTCCTGCCTGCAGAGCGAGAGAGCAAAAAACGGGGGTCTTTAAACAAACTATAAAAGGATGGCGTCACAATACGCCATGCAAATTATGCGAATAGGGGCATTACACATCTGTTTACAATTAAATTATTTCACGTTAAAGAAAAATAATCTTTATTTTAATCCCAGTAAAAATCATGTTTCCTTATATTTGTTCATTAACATCTATGTCACAAGCTGTCGAAAACGTAAAATACTGTAACCTAAATTAACTTTCTTCCCTGGACGCTCAGACTTTCGAAATCGGGACGTATGTCTACCTAACTGACCATAGGTCATTCCTAAGGATACGAAAGGTTTTTCAGGGACGACAACGAGCTCTTCCGACATTTCTGAACCCCTTTTTATCACAATTCACAATTATATAATCCTATTTGCAAATCAGAATATTCCCAAATACGAATATTTATTGACCCGAGAATATACTGTTTGCATAAAAAAGTTACCTGTTATTTCAACCTTGTAAACAAAATAAAAACCTCGGCAAAAAAGAAACTACTAAACCCACAAGAGCCGATGTAAGGTGTCAGAAGAGCCGACTAAGGGAGCAATCACAGAACAAATTCCTTTTTCTGTGGAGTAAACTCTGCAGGACAGTTAAGCACAGCATAGAGCAGGAAAACTTGAAACATGCTCTATCCCAACCCGTTTGGCCAGCGTGGTACAGTAGGCCAAAACCTCCTTTCTATGTCCAGAAGTAGGCCATTAAAGTTGTCAGCACTACTAGAAAAGCATATCCATCTATACCCCTCGATACAAGTGATCGGCTTTTAAAGCATTCTGATTTCTGAATCAGAATGCTGTAAAAGCAGATCACTTGTATACCAGATATAATAAGAAAAATTGTGAAATTATCTGTTAGCCAGATTGCCACATTTAAATTTTCTTTCATACAAATCTGTGTCTTTGTATTTAAAATGAAATGCAGATGCACCGGCTTGTCTTGCTTGACATGACAGTCTTAGTCTTTTTCATTGTGACTCATTGAATTTCATTGTGGCCTGCAAAAGCGTATTAGTATGATTACGTTCCGTACTCAATGGGTGTTTGTCTAATAGTGTACAGATGCCAAAATACCAAGGACATATTCAAGACTTAATTTTGCGCTCTCGTAATATTTTCTACTACTGAAATAACATTAAGTAATGTAATTCAAATTTTGTAACACTTACTCAAACTAGCACACGCTCAAAAATTTAACCGTCATATGCTACATTTCAGTTGTAAATAAATCAGAAATAGGTTATTTTTCTTAAGATTATGGTATAAAGTAGTCCGTGATGAACTATATTGGTTGGTTCTTGTTTTGTCTGTAACATCCTAAAAAGCACCTTACAAAGTGGAATTACGTTGCATAATGTGGTTATATTCTGCATAATAGGTCAATGCCAAGAGTGTTTGTTGTTGAAGTATATACTAGCACACGCTTGTTTAAACATCGTTATTCGTTTCATTTCTAGCCCGTTCCGTTTCTGTTAGAGATTAGATGTTTTAATACTCGAAGCCGAGAAATTATCCCTTCACTTTGAAATATGCTACTACAAAAGAACTGTTTCGCGAAAGATACGGAGCTAAATTTGTTATTCTAGGGCATTGGAGCAAAAAGGAATTACAACATTGTTAATTGTATTTGTAATAGTAATGTTATTAAATGTTGTCAAGAAAAGGAACTAAGTTTCCTGCAGTGGCGCGTAGTTCCCGGACTTTTGCAAATAGGTCATAAAATGTAGTTTCCGCGAGCCGGCGACCTAGGAGACAATGGGCAACCACCGCATTGTCTATTGTCATCGTCGGCCAGACAAGCTGCGATGAATGGGGCAAGTTCATTCCGATCCGGTGCACATTAGCCGCTAAGTGCGACATAGACACAGCGAAATCGTGAGCGCGAAAGAGAAAAGAATACGGTCCGCGCGGACACTCGGAATTACCGCTGCTTGAGTTTTGTTTTGGAACAGTGCAGTTGGTTGGCGCGCGGCGCACGAGTCGAACAGTTCCCACGCGCGCTACGATTAGCTCAGCGGAGCAACGTAACATGAACGGGTCGCATTTCTATACGCGCCGCGCCTCACCGCGCTTGCACCGCCGATAACATCTGCGAAACCGATATTTAGGCCGTCGATAGCGCGATAGGGTTCCAATTCGTGCGCGACATTTCGCCGGCATCGCTCGGCCATGTGATCGCTCCTCAACCGATGGGAGCGAAAATCAAACAAAAAAACCATCCGCTAATGTCTACCCCTCCCGGCCGCTACAAAAAAGGGATAAAAAGGTTATTCCTGGAATGCACACATGTGGACGCCGCCGGGTAAACGTGGGTGCTTGTATTGACTCCGCAGTGTTACCACAATGCCTCGGAGGAGCAGATGGATGCATCTTGCGGCGGGCGTCGCGCTCGGCGTAACCTTTGGAATATTTCTTAAGTTGTGTTTAAGGACTTCGTCGCGAACGACGATTGAATCATGTCCGGAATCAGCGAGACTAGTCGTCGATTCCGACCCCCTAGCCCTGGTAGGATTGTTACCAAACGAAACTGTTCACAATTCGAACAGAACTCTGGTGTTCGTAGGTGTTATGACAGCTGAACAGTATTTAAGTTCTCGTGCGAAAGCAGTGTTTGATACTTGGAGCCAGGATTTGCCTGGTCGAATAGCGTTTTTCAGTTCGGAAGTGTCGCGTGCCCCAGGTTTACCTTTAGTTCCTTTGCGTAATGTGGACGACAGCTATCCTCCGCAAAAGAAGTCATTTATGATGTTACTATACATGTATGAGAAGTATGGGGATAAGTTTGAATGGTTCATGCGTGCTGACGACGACGTGTATGTGAGAGGTGATAAATTAGAAGAGTTTCTGCGTTCTGTCGATAGCAGAAAGCCGCAGTTCATCGGTCAAGCTGGAAGAGGTATGAGGGACGAGAAAGATAGCTTAGCATTGGATTACAACGAGAACTTCTGTATGGGCGGTCCCGGTGTGTTGTTCTCCAGGGAGACACTGAAGAGAGTGGCACCTCACGTGAAGTATTGCTTGAAGCACTTGTATACCACGCATGAGGATGTGGAGCTGGGTCGGTGTGTCGCCAAGTTCGCTGGCGTTTCGTGCACGTGGAGTTATGATGTAAGTGCTAAATTATAATTCATATATATTATATTTACATTTAAGTAGTTTATGTAACTGATATTAAATTAATGATTAAATTCAATACTATATCAGGCACATAAATTTGGATTATGATTGATTGGTACTGCATTATCATTGGTTTTGATGTGTTATGGTATATACTTGTGGCTTAGTTTTTTACGTATAAAAACTACTAATAGTAACCTCCTTGCGGTTAGTAAGCATCAGAGTGATAAAAGACATCAATGCTGATGTTAGCTACTCTAAGGGAGCCATTATTGCTTCCAACATAACTTCCAATTTGAATGAGACTTTTTCATGGCCCTCAGATTCTTCGCTTGTCCCTTTTAGCAGAGGGTAAGAGATCACTCTCATTTAAATTCATATTCTAAACGAGATTGGGTTTATTTTATGCCTCTCGGTTTTTCCGCTTAGCAGAGGGTAACGTTGACGAATATGAATTCAATTGGTTGCGCGACAGTGACTAAGATCTGGTGGTCCTGGTACAATTCGCCTGGACAACCCTGTATGCCTCTGAGAACACGTTTGGGAACAGCAGCTCTTTGAAATTACAAAATAAAAAAATGCCTCTGTCATTTTTTTATATCAATTTCAATTAAGTCGCCGTTTTTATCTCAAAGTTATTGTGATGTTTTAATTGATGCGATTCCTTCATATCTGAGTTATTGCGTCTTCAACTGAAAAAAACTTCTTCTTTCGTCTTCAACTAACAAAAACTCATAAACAGTTAAGAATTTTACGAGTTAAAGCAAGTTACTTACATTACCGCAATTTCTCATATTATATAGCTGATAATGACACATGAAGCAATACGCACTAAATGGTAGGCTGTTAAATTAATATTTATCATCCGATAATAATCTTTAGTTCAATACGATAAAGCCGAATGTTGTGTATAAGAAAGATTTGGCGATGCTTGTTATTTCTTTGGTGCATGTAAAGGTACGTGAAGCGGAGGAAATTGATTTCGCTGGCGTAGAAGTTAATTATTCTGCGATTCAAGGAGCGTGGCCTGCGCCAGTCAGCTTAGGATCACTGACCGGTGATGTAGATGGACACGTAGTGTGCCTAATGTTGCAACTTTTCTTATTACATCTCTTTGCACTACCTATTATTTGATAGTCTATATTGAAAGCTTCCTTGAATGTCATAACGTCTATTTTGCCATAGTAACGGTGTGTTATTGTTATGTAAATAAGTATTATTAAATACATTGTATAATGTTGAACGTAAACCGGTTTATTCAATTGTTAAACGTTTTTTTTTTGCGAAAATAGCAAATTTTAACAACAATTTACGTTTAATAGTAGTAAGTTTTCTGTTTACATGGTTAGTGACGTCATCATGCAGTTAGGCTTTTATTAATTACAACGTTTTAGTCATATATTATAGAAGTTGTAGATTAGTAGATGTTTTGTTAGCATAAATTACAGATTTAATATAACTAAATTTTATCTAAATTATATTTTAAGAAAGTATTATTATTACTTTAAGTAATTATTTTACAATTATTTAGTCTTTATTTCACATCACATCACATCAACAGCCTATACTAGTCCACTGCTGGACATAGGCCTATCCTTAGAAAGGAGGTTTTGGCCTACTATACCACGCTGGCCAGACGGGTTGGTATAGGGTTTGTTTCAAGTTTTTTAGTCTTTATTTATCTTGCAGATAAATACAATTACCTACATATCTTTTAAGAGTGCGTTAATCTGTTATCAAAATAATTAAAAATACATTGAGAGACATAAAAATAAGAGCATAATTTGATTCATTTAATTTTTTAAGGTTCTTTTCCTTAAAACTAAAAAGGTCCGTGAAGACCTTTTGTCTTAGAAAAAAGTTAAGTTATCAAATTGAAATTGACATCCAATTAGCTATGTAAGGCGGGTATAATGTAGCCATTGACCTTTAAAAAAATAGCATTAAAGTTGTCTTAGAATCTACCCACCAGCACAAGTAATAAAAAAGTCGTTAATTTCGTTCGTTATATGTTAGTTTATAATTATTTTTTCGATTCCAAACTAATATTTAAGGTTGGAAATTTGACAATTACGTGTAACCATATCATAATATGGCAAGCATTTATAGAACTGCAAAGTTTGTTTGTGATAAAAACGGATAAAAAGAGTTAATAAACAAAAATTAAAAATCACAAGTGATTTGTTTTATAATGACTTACGCTATACAAACGGTTTTTATTTTTATTCTAATGATACTCCATAGTTCATAAATCCAAAGCTGTTTTGACATTTTAAATTTAAAGTAGCTTAAACTCATAAATAAATACATTAACTTTGAACGTTTAACACACCTTTTTGGGTCAGTCTTGTAAAAATCTTCGTGAATCTATACCTCAGATGGATGAATTTATCAACATACAATATTTTTTTTTGTATGCAGAACCTACGGTTTGCAAGTCAGATTTGCCCTTGCCTGGTACCTGCTCATGTCTATAATACAGTAGAATGTCTGTTACATTCAATGCAAAAAAACCCGCTTTAGAATCTTAGAACTTAAGTATGGTATAAAAATATGGTGTAGAAACTTCGATATAAATTCCTCAAAATAGATTTAGTTGCTGTTCCCATAAATAAATAAAAACGGTTATTAACCATTTTATGGCGAAGATAAAAATTAATTAATTCAATTAAGAGTAATGAACTTAAGTATTTTTAATTTAAATCACATTTATAAGTATATTATAACCATTATTTGATGTTTTATAACCTTTTTATGGTATCGTGCATAGACATTATGTTTAAGCACTTTTATTGGCACATAATAATATTATGTTCTTAAAAAAACATTAATAAAAAAATATAAATTGTATGTACACTAATTCTATTTTAGTTTAAAGTTTAAAAGACGGCAACGCCTTTGGGACTCCTGACTTGTATGTGCTCACGGGCGCCTTACCATCAGGTAAATGACCGTCTGGGCGTTTGACACTAACAGTCAATCTAGCTTTGATAATACAAGCTTTGCTTAGGTTGAAACTAGATAGTGTTGTGTGTCAGATGTCCTAAATAATTAAAAAATATATATTGGTTTGCATTTACCCATACGTACTGAAAGAAAACGGTCACTACTTTGATTCATACTCCGAAACTTATAAATCCTTTATAAAGTATAAAAAAATGTTTAAAGTATAATCATTTGCCACTTCGAGATCATTTTATTGCTCATAAATTTTTAATAATCTTGTTCACTGTAAGATGAAACAGTAACAAAAGATTTAGCTACATTTGATCTTGTTTCCACGGCTGTTGTGTTTATTTCGTTGTACTCTTGCGTTACTAAATGAAAGCGTTACATTTACATGTTACAATTCTTTGTAGGTTATTTAATTACGTTTATAGTTTATCCCAATTAATTCAACAAATTAAACGAAATTAAACATTAAATCTTATTGTATTACGAGTGAATTAAGATATTATCAAATTTGTGAGCAGTCGGTAGTCGAACTGTCTTTCACACTTTAGTTTGTACTAACTTCTTTAATATATCTATATAATAACAATTTTAAAAGACTAGTAGTCAAGACTAGAATGGAGCTATCCCTATTCTAGTCTGGAGTACTAGTCTTTTAGCCTATGCCAGAGTAGACATATAAACCATATCACACATGCTATTCACTCATAGTCACACTTAGCTGTATGAAAAAGGCGGCAACTTGAGCTTGAAATATTTCACTGTACTTATATTTAATTTTAGTTCATTTCAAGAAAGCAAAATATTCACTTAAATGATATTCAAACTGTTTGCCAGTACAAATCCTTGCGCAATATAAGTTTTTGCTTCCTTTTTACAATGTTATCGTTAATATTAACCCATAAACATATTTTCCCAAAAGTTTTAGTGGTTTTGCATTATTTAAGCTGGTTGGAAATCAGGGACCCCTATCTAAACCCACACTCCGGTGAGCTTCTTTATGATAAAATTGGAACAAGACATATTATTATGTTGCATATAGTTTATTTTTAGTTAAAATAAACTTGCAAAACAGTTTCTCGAAACGATAGTACATTGCAAAATCTTTTTCCCGTTCACACTTACGTCCTATGTCGTCGAACAAAGTTTGCGTTTGCCGCCATAAAGTTCAAGGTAGCGCTGTTTATACAAACTCCTTCCTTATTACTTGTTTAAGAAAAAACAAAGAAGAAGACTATGTCTGTTCTATGTTTAAATTGACGGATTTATCGTTGTTAAGATTGTAAAAAATAAACTCGTTTTGTAAAGGTTAGTTCTTTTTTTCCATAAGTATTTGTGCGGAAATTGAAAGTAAAATGAAAAAATAACAATCAAAGGATCATTTAATTATTTCTGATAGGATGCTTCTTTGACAGCTTGCTTATGCCAAAAAAATTTTTGACATAACATGACATTTTTGACAAATCCTTAATTAGTATTTAGACTAGCTGCTAACATTAGTTCCCCTCTATTGAAGTACTAGCAGGTTACTAGCTATGGTTATTAACACGTCACTAAATGAGGAAACTGATCAAGCAATAGGGTTGCCAGTTTACAAGGGCTTTTACCCGGTTTGCCTGTTAAAAACCAAAAAAAAGTGTAAACGAATTTTACGTAATGTTTATTGACTAGATGCAACCCTTATATTATAAGTGAAATTGTGTTTCTTTGTTGCGCTTTCGAGTATACATTATTTTTTATTTTACTTCAAACAGGCACAAACACACACACACACTCACTAAAAGATATATTCCTATATATCCTGTGTCGCGGGAGACTTTACAGACATACATGAAAAGGACACAAAGAACACCCAGACTTAGAACAACAATTTATGGATCACACAAAGTGTTGTTCCATGCGAGGATCGAACCCACAACACTTAACGCAGTTTGGAGCGGCGAGGAGACCGCTTAAACCGCTAGCCATCCGTGTAGTCAACAAGTATTGAACTGATTATCATGAAAGTTCTTACACAGGTTCAGACACAAAAAGGACATAGGGACAAAGGGACATCC